CCCCCCCCCAGCCCCCCGGCCGCCAACGGGGGGGGGGGGGGGGAGAGAGACCACCGGTCAACGGGGGGGGGCACCTGACCCACCAGGACACCAGGAGCAGGCCCCTGTCCCCAAAAGGACACCCCAGAGCTGGGGAAAAGCGCAGAGGAGGGACAACCAAGATGAGGAGGAGGCTGGAGCCCCTTCGGAAGAAGAGTCCCTGGGACTTCTTAGTCTAGAAAGGAGACGACCCAGGGGGGGGGGCGGGGCGGGACATGACAGAGGTTTATGAAACGATGTGTGGCATGGGAGAGAGCTGACAAAGAGAGCTTCCCCTCCCTCTCCCAAAAGGGCCTCCAAGGACGCTGGTGGGCAGTAGGTCCAGGGTGGACGAGAGGAAACACTGCTTTGCACAGAGAGTGATTAAAATGCGGAATGCGCTAGTGACATATCATCTAGTGACAGCCACAGGGATAAGCAGCTCTAAAACCGGACTGAGTAGATTGGTGGAGGATCAGTCTGTCAGGAGCCACCAGCCATGGTGACGGAGAGGCACCTCCGGATCCCGATCCGGCTTCGGCCAGGAGGGCGGGGTAGAAATTCGATAAACAGATAAATAAATCCAGAGGCAGTGATCCTCTGAATCCCAGAGCCAAGAGGCAACGTCACGGGAAGGCCTCGGCCTCCCTGCCCTGTTGCTGGACCTCCAGAGGGACTGGTCAGCTACGGCGTGAGACTAGATGGACCCTCCCTGGTCTGGTCCAGCAGGGCTACCCTACTGTTCTTATGTGGGTGCCAGGCCTCCTTTGCACTGTGACCTTGTGACCCCCCCCCCAACCATAAGTAGTCCTTGGCTGTTCAAGACTGTGACTGACGCCCCAAAATGGCCCCAAGAACCAGGGTGCTGCTTTGTGGTATGGTTGTGGCCCTGTGAGCAGCATTGAATGCTTCCCTTGCCTACTTGCCGCCTGTGCTTGGCCAGGGCTGCCCACAGGTCGAGGGTAGCCGCTGACTCGATTTCCTCCTCCTCCTCCTCCTCCTCCTCCTCCTCCTCCTCCTCAACGGCCCCGCTTCCCCTCCCCTCCACCCCTCCCCTGCCGCCCAGGTCTCTTTTCCCGCCCACCGGGGCTCGCCTTCCCCTTTCCCCTTCCGCGTGTTCGCAGGAGGCGGGTGGGAAGCGGGGCAGGATCAGCAGCTGCTCGAGTCCAGCGGGGCTGGGGAGGCTCAGAGGAGAAGCAGGCACGCCGCACGCGGTCAGGACTGGCTCCCACCGTCCCTTCAGGGCAGGGCTCGGAGGGTGGCGGCTGGGGACCCCTTGCCGCCAGTGTGGGACCTGCCTTGCCGGGCACCCCAGGATCCATCCCCCTCCCCCTCCCGTGGTGCTCTACGCAAAGTCCTGCGGGGAAATCGACTGTGGTCTGGGACGAGGCTGCCCTCGACATGCTGAGGGGGGGGGGACACACCCAGCTCCCTCTCTCTTCATCCAAACCACCTGGTCATGCAGGAGAGGTCCTGACCCAGTGCCCGACTGCGGTAGTCGGGTGGCCAGGCCACGGGGGAGCCAGTTGAGAGGCGGAGTTTTTTTGCCCTCTTCTGGGTGTGGAACAGGGGTCGCTGCGGGTGTGGAGGGGGAGGTATGGCCCTGGAGGGTCTTTCCAACGCTATGATCGGATGATTCATGCTGGCTGTGTGGATCCAAATGCGAGGGTTACTTCATAGGTAGGCTGTGGTGATGCCTGGTGCATGTTATGGCCCCTTGAAGTCAATTTGGAACCTCCAGTTGGCACCAGTGTTCCCTCTAAGCTGAGTGAGTGTGAGCCAGCTCACAGTTTTTTAGCCTCCGGCTCACACATTTTTGTCTCAGCCGAAGAGGGAGGGCTCCAGAGCAAACTGATTTATGCAGCAGCCAAATAGCTCACTCTCAGCTTTAGTGCCAGGAGCTCACAGAGTAGCATTCTTGCTCACAGGACTCCACAGCTTAGAGGGAGCCTTGCTCGGGACCTTGGAACAGCAGTTTTTGTTGTTGTTGTTCAGTCGCACAGTCGAGTCCGACTCTCCGCGACCCCATGGACCAGATCACGCCAGGCCCTCCTGTCTTCCACCGTCCTCTGAAGTTTGCTCAACTTCATGTTCGTTGCATCTATGACACTGTCTGACCATCTCATCCTTTGCCGTCCCCTTCTTCTTCTTTGACCTTCAATCTTTCCCAGCATCGGGGTCTTCTTCTCCAGTGAGGGCTCCCTTCTCATTGGGTGACAGCAAATCTTTCCCTGGGAGTCCCGTGAAAAGCCCCAGACGGACATGCCGGAGCACCGGCGGCCCTGACCAGCCCAGCAGGACTTTGGGATCCACGGGCAGATCCTCAGGAGGAATCGTTTTGCCCAGCAACCGGGATCAGCGTGACCCTTCTTTTGCTCACTGGCAGATCACAGCTACAGAGGGAGGGAGGGACAGACAGCCCTCTGAGGTCAGCCAGAGCCCTAAAACCAGGCGGCGGGGCTTTCGTGAGTCAGGGCTCACTTCTGAAGGAACGGTGTTCGCCTTGCTCCTGGTCTCTTGCGCCTTTCATTCTGCTACTACAGACAGGCTCACTCGGCTCTGCACCCGTCTTGGTCTGTCCCCTCTGAAGCCAGGGGGCTACTCGAGTCATAACCCTGCGGAAAACCTCCCACATTCCCACGGGCAGCGGAATCGGTGCGGGGGACATCACACTGTGCCCTGCCTGGTGTGGCTGGTTAGAGAGATTTCTATATTTTGCAACCGAGAAAGGCACCAGCTGTGCCCGGCAGGAATGACAAGGCCTGTCCTTTTTGCTGAGGGACGCTGAGCGCCAGCCCGGTCTGTTCCTATCTGTCCACCACCATTTTATGCTCACAACGCCCCCGTGAGGTAGGTGAGGCTGAGGGGGAGTGACTGGGCTGTGGGGATCTGAACCCGGGTCTCCCTCTGCCCACCACGCCACTCCAGCTGCTCCTCGGCCTCTTGCTGACAAAGGTGGCGAATCCTCCTCCTCCTCCTCTGCCGGCCCAGAGTGCCAGACTAGGAGGGACCACCGGTGGCGGGGGGGGGGCATTGCAGCGGAACATGCGGAGAAACTCCCCCCCCACTGAGAGCAGCTCTGCGGTGGGACCCCTTCCCTTGGGTGGGGCAGGGTTAGGGTTCTCCCTCTCGCTCCTCCGGGATTATTCCCAGCCGGGAGCAGGGCTGGCGGGAGAGGGCCTCCCTCCAGAGTGCCTCCCAGCTCTCGGGGCTCTGCCGTGTGCTCCAGCCCCCCCCCCCCCCCGCCC